TTGGTGTTTGCACCAACACTGATTTTGGCTTTTCATAAGGCTGGCCAACCAGCTGAGAATGCCACGCAGGAATGTTCCCTGAGGCAAACAATTCCTGGGTGGCAAGGAGTGTGGGAGAATTTGGGCAGATGTGTAGAGCAGTTTTCACCTTCAGTGGTTTGGGACTTCAGTCCAGAAGACATGGAATCCTGTTGAACTGGCAGATCACTTGAAAGAAGGATGCCTTGCACATACCATAAACACACAACCTCCAGCACTGTGTTGGGGCCTGTGGTAAGCCTATGGCTATGCTTAAAGGAATAAGAGTTTTTGGATCTGACAACAAACAGACACTGTGAGGGCCTTTGGATCTGAGGACACAGAAACAGACACCAGATAAATCAGATATCCAACCCTCAATTACAACAGTTGTTCCTGCAGTTAAGAAGAAAAAACAGAAGCGCAGGTTGACTCAGTTAGTAAAGGAGATAAAAGCTTCTCCTGAGGGAGAGCAGGAAGAAGAAATCACGGACTGGCCAGAAGGCAGACATTTTGAAGCATTGCCTAAGGAGGTGACTCATGCTAAATAGGCCTCACTGTATAACAGATTACTAGAAAACGAAAAACAATATGCTCTATTTACTGATGAGTTCTGACATATTGTGGGAAAGCACCTGAAGTAGAAAGATGATGTGTGGAGTCCCACGAGACAAGACACGGAAATTGTCACAGGCAAAGGTGAACTGAGTCTGCTTGCAGAAGTGAAGGCCACCCAGCTGACCACAGACATTGCCCAAAGAGAAAAGTGGCCAGTACTGTATTTATACACTGCCTCACTGATGGTGGCAAACACCCTGTGGGGGTAGCTGAAACAACAAAAGCAAAGTAACTCACAACACAAAGGTAAGCCCATCTGGGCTGCTGCACTGTGGCAAGACATTGCTGCCCAGGTAAAGAAACTTGTAAAAGTACTTCATGTAGATACTCACTTCCCCAAGAACCATGCCACCAAAGAACATGGAAACAAGGAGCAGATAGACCAGGTTGCCAGAAATGAAAAGACAAAAGTGGAGCTTGAACCTAAGGACTGGGAAACTAAGGGCCAGTTATTGATAGTTCAGTGGGCCCATGACACATCAGGATACCTAGGAAGAAATGGGATATACAGATGGGCTCATGATTGAGGGGTGGAACTGACCATCAAAGCCATTGAACAGGTTATCCATCAATCCAAAACATGTGCCATGAATAAACAAGACAAGTAGGTATAGCCACTGCTGTGGAGAACAGCTGCTGGGAGGGAGTGTGGGTTGCTCTTCCCTCAGGAAAAAGCAAACCCATTTGTGGGGTTCCTTTGCTCAAGGGCACTTGGTGATAAATGAGGAAGATAGGGAAACACAGTGTGCACCTCAAGGAGATTTAACCCTGGGAGAAAATAATCCATAATTTGAGTTGTATGTCATAGCTGTGTGACAAAGTACAACAGCAGGAGCCACTAAAACTAACCAAGGATGAGCCTTGTAAGGAACCAGGCAAGACACAACTGGCTTTAATGCAACCCAACACACTCAACCTAAAACATCCAATCCAACCCAACCCGATGCAACCCAACACACCAGCTCCTTCCTATTAAGGCTCTGCTTGTCCATTTTTTTTATTTTTTTTTTTATCTTATCCAAATTATCTCCACTTTTCTTTATGCAAAGTGCATGAGTTCCCTCTTGGAAAGTGCACTAGCTGCTAACATTTCCTTACTCTTACACAGCACTAACTAGAGCAAGGTAACTAGTAATTTCAGATTTACACTACCGTAAGTTACAAGAGCATGTTCATGTGCCTGAGTCATCTGATACGTGTACTCTCTTCTCATACACTTAGAATGTTATAGCACTGTCACTAAGATGAAACAAAAGATTGAAAAATCATTAAAGTATGTAAATCATGATAGTGTCAGTGCTATGACATAGTGCTGGATTATCAGTAAAATGATTTGTGTTCTTGTGTGCTCACAGCTCTTCTCTTGTTCTCAGGAAATAAAAATGGTTCTTGCTGAGTACTGTATTTCAAAATCCATTCACAGAAATAGTTACTGAAAAATTGTGGACTGCATCTCAGAAGACTGAGAAAAGGAGATAGATTAATTATCATATTGGAGATTACATTGACTCAGAAAAAATCCAAGGTCTTGTTCACACTTCAAAATATAGAATCTGTCTGCTGGTACCAGAGGATCCCTCCCCCTGTGTGGTACAAGGTGTTTTGTGAACCAGTAAGCATTGGTCATCTTTTTGTAGCTCTCCCCTCTTACACCAGCTATTACATGCTCAGATGGCTGATGCCAATCAATTTTGCATACTTACTGACAACACCGCAGAAAAACTTCCTCTTTATTGCAGTCACATTCTGAAAAGTGATTATTTCAAATGGTAATGTCTTAGTCAGAAAAACATATTCTGTGATAATAACCCTGCATGCATTTCTGATGTTTCCTAGTAAAGGGAATATTGAGAGAGTTAAAAGAAAAAACAAAACAGAAAACCTATTAATGCTTTACTATACTGAAAACAGTATAGCTATGAACATGACATTGAGTCACTGCTCATATGCTTCTGAACATGTTCATGTTATTTCTCTATTGAAATAACATGAACAAAATAAAAAGTGTACTTATTTTGCTTCGCCTTGTTTAGCCCTCATACATTAGGAGGAACAGCAGTGGATCTGAACAGTCTGCACTGTCAATCAGTCTGTATTGTTAGTAGCAATGTATGAGATGGAATAAGTACATAGGCAGTTTCCTGGTGAGACTTCAGAACTGGCAGGCAGAAAAAACAGACAGCGTGTCTTGATAGAACAAATTGGATTAGAAATTGCAGGACACAAATCAGGAATGATAAGCTAGAATTTTCCCTAACTCAACTAACAGAAAACTCAATAGTTATTTTTTTCACTTTAAGTTATTTAATAGTGATTTATTTTATTTTTTTTTAGATAAAGTTTTCCTAGTTTGTGAAGATAAACATATGAAAACACTAACTGTGGAAATGATAGAGACGAGATGTACAGTCTGCTGACTTCATCTAATTGTGTTATTTTAACCCCCTTTCCAGCACTGACCTCCTTTGCCTCCTGACTAATGTTTTGCCTCTACTTTATTACCCAAGAACTTCATTAACTAATGCAGCAGTCTAACTGATGAATGTTGGAGATCCTGCACATACTTCTTCCTTTATACCAGAAAACACAGTTTCTTTCAAAGCATGTTTGCTCTTTATAGACATCCATGCAGCCAGTGAGGTCTAATAATAGGATTAACTCTGCTCAACCAAAAAGGCTATCAGCTGAGCAGAGAGATTAAGGAGATCGCCTCACATGTTGCATGACATCTTTCTTGCTAATTCCAAACAGCAATTTCTAGGACTAGTTAAAACATACTATGAAGACAAGCTGAAAAGGTAAGAGACAACAGCTTAAAACATTGTATTTCCCAGGCAAACTAAAATCACACAGAACAATGTAAATACTGTTATTTGTAAGTAAGGGGCAGCTCCATAAGTGAGGGTCAAAACCCCTTCCATGTCCCAGATACATCTCTTTAATTGACATTTCTTACCTGGAAGTAGGAAGATATGAGTTATACTGCTGAGGTAAACAAGGCCAATATAAAGCATATGGGAGGGATGTTAAATACCTCACTTCAAGAAGCCAGTTAGCTGCTACACCATACCCAATCTGTTTGTTGCAGAGGATCCCAAATCACTTCTTACATGCTTCCTACACTAAACTAACAATTGCACTGCATTTGAGAGGTTCTTAGCAGATGCGAACGATCCATCAGACAGAAACAGCTTTGTTACAGCTCTGTTGAGTCTGACAGGGACAAAGTTAAAACCAGCTTGGATGTATCTTCATCACATTGTAGTCAGAAACCCACATTTACTCTGTTACAGCTATTATAATTACAGAGACCCTCTTTCCTGTTTCATTCTCCCACTGAATTCTCAAACCTGACTCAGTCACTTACTGATGCAGCCAGGGCAGCACATCAAACCTCCCTGACTCTAACAGCTACCTCAAACCTGCCTCCTAAAGGATGTAGGTCACGTGGTTGAAGTATGAAAAGATGCAGCAAGGCAAAGAGGACCCACCTGTGGTTTTTTTACAACATTTTGTTCAAAGGTGAGTAGAAGTTCTGAGAAGATTCTCCCAGACTACAACACTGCCCGAGACACATACTGTGTAAGCGGCATAGTAAAACATCCATATGGTGCCATTCTTAACATACCAAAGGCTACCCCTCCAGCTTGCACTGGATGGAGAAGTTATTGTAGCTTACAACATCAGAGAAACCAGCCCATCCATCAATCTGTTGTCAGATTCACAGGCTCTCATGCTTAGCAGTTTTTCAGCAGAGGAAGACAAGTCTCAAGCTGCTTTGCTTTGGGGAAAAATTAAGCTATTCTACAATTCAAACAGCAAATAGTTTTCATTTATCCTAGAGACTCCGCATAAAGGCTCTGTGAGCGTAAATGAAATTTACACTATGATGCATCTGAGAAGAAGGTTAATTACAATGACAGTATAACTCAATCTAGCCAGTGTTCCCATTTACTGTTCCAAAGATTGCCTTCCGAATCTTCATGCTTGGACTAGACCCAAGTAGCAAGAAAACCATAAATCTCCCACTTAGAGTATTCTCACAAGGGACTTTACCATCAACAGGTGGTACACAAAGCATATGACATTACAAATTTGCACATTTGTGGAGGGAATCCATTACCTGAAGACAACCTTAGTATTTACAGATGCATGATCTGTATTTTCACTGTATGATCATTACTTGATTCTATTGCCACAAACTGTCACCATTAATTCAGATGCTACGAGAGATAACTCACCGGCAAGACCCAGCTTTTCAAATGGCTGTATACTAATATATCATCCAATCATGGTTAGTATATCATACTAATAAATGGTGTATACTAATATATCATCCAATGACAACCACAATAGCTACTTACTCCACAGTACCGATCATCACTGAATATCTGTGGTGGTAGTGGATTGCCTTGTGCAGGCTGCCTATCCTCAGGAATATTTTTATACATCCATTGTCTTTTCTCCTCCGACATTGTGATATCCACTTCTTCAAACTCTATGCGGTTGGCTTCCAGAAACCTCACCACATCTTGTTGCCTCTTCTTTATCTAGACAGAAAGAAGGAAGAAAGAAAAAAAAAACAATATTCAGGGCAAGCCCACCATAGCCCAGACATGCTTACAAACCTGAAGACATTCCTCCTCTCCCGTCCCACTTTCATGGGATGGGAAGTCACAAACTCAGAAACACAAAGGAGAAAATACTTTTCTTCAGTTTTAAGTTTATAGAAGTTGAACACTGCTGTTTCTTTACAAGTTGGCAAAGGTTATACTTCTTCACCTCATTTCTAGAAGGTCTCTCTTTATTTCAACTGCAGGAATTTCAGCCTTTACCTTCTAAAGATGCTCCAAAAAAAAAATAAAAATGTATATAACTCCTACTTCCAAAGTAGGAGTTAAAAGAGGCAGCTGCTTTTCCAGGTCATTAGGTGCTATGTTTTCCTAAATATACAGGCACCTAGAAATGCAAGGTAAGCAACATGGCAAGTCCCAGGAGAATCTACTCCTCTAAGTGTTCATTGAGGTAAACATGTCAGTACATCTGAAAAAAGAACACCCAGGCCACACACATTTTTGTTTTCCTAGACACCTCAGCAGTTCCCTGAGCAGGGCTTGTTGAATCTCTAATTAAGAGTGTCTGTCTGCATTATACACAGGCCTAAAAATTAGCATGAACTCATCTCCTGAAAATTTACTTCTTTGCAAAAAAAAAACAAAACACATGAGGTTTGTACTGTGGGGGTTCTGCCCCTCAAATTGATTATCATCTTCATAGAAAACCCTAACAGAGGCAGAACAGTGGCAGTTTTTAGCCACTGTTAAGTGTTAAGCTAAGATCAACCCTTAAGAGCTAGCGGGCTTCAAGCAGATGCACCCAGGTGAAGACTACTTCTGCCTCAAATCAGACTTTATATCAAGATAGCAACATTTCAAATGAAAGTCTGTAGGGGCTGAGGAAAGCTACCTGGGCTCAACTAGCTAGATCTGCTCTGCATTTTCTTCAGCCCACACTGTATTTTTTGCATCTACTTAACAAAATTAATTCTTTCAGAAAGGAACTATAAATTATATGCTATATTTCTTACAGCTATAATCAAGGGTATTATTTGAAGAAAAAAGATACAGCTTTAATAATTTTACAGTATTCCTGGAGTGTCAGAATCACGCAGTTGCTGACTGGCATAAAGCCCAGGTGGATGAATCATGCCTGTGGGCATCATATGACCTAGATACTATTTGGAAATCAGAGGATTTTTAAAGTGCATGTGCTAGTTGTTCTTGTCACACAGCCCAGTCTGTCTATCTAAATGTACAAAAAGTTATGCACAGAAGTACATAACTTTTGGAGGTAATGCTGATGAAATCACTGTTTCCTTGAAATAAGAAGGTAGCCATCCCAAGAAACTGCAAAGCTCTTACATGATCCCTGTCCTTCTGAAGAAGTGGGCTGCATAGGAAGTTTATGTCTCAGTGTCTTATTCTTTTTCCTTTTATTTATAAACTGGTGGGGTTTTTTAGGCATACGTGAAAGGATCACTTTTCCATATAGAAGGCAGCTTCTAAAATACTGTGCAAATAATGCATTATCAATAACAGCAAAATCACTGCATCATCATAGCTGCCAGCATTGAAGACAACATACCTTTTATTATCTCCCCAAAAATTGCAGACAAATTCTGTTGTCAGTGTAGAAAATATTTTCCACTGCCTTTCACCAAAAAAGCTGCAAGAAAGGCCCAAAAGAGACAGAGATTTTCTCAACACAAATATTAAGTATTTGTTCAAACAGAAATGAAGTATCTAAAATGACGTGTGGGAGAGGACATTTCCTTATAGTGTAATACTGCTAAAACCAGCATGAATTCCCTCCTGCCCTGGTCAGAGCAACTAGCAAACTACACAGTGCCTGGGCCAGCCCTCTGGCCCTGAGGCCAGATAGCATCATCTGGCCAAGTCTATTAAACCTGTAGCCTCTTGGAGTGGCTGCATGCAAACTGGGAATGAACCCTGGCACACTGTGTCATCTAAATCATGGCCACAAACTGTTTGTGAGGCTGTAAATTAGCCTTGGCCAAAGCTGCCTGTGCTGGCAATCATTCTTCTAACAGTTTCATAGTACCAGAGTGTGCCATTGCTCAGACCCAGGCCATGTACCAGTGCATATATATCTACACATACCCATTTCCATCTGCTGTCTTCCATTAATCTGTACCCTGGGCACAAGTTTAACTTATATTTAATCAGATCCTTAATATTTCACTGTTCACACCATAAGAATTCTCCCACAACTCCATGTTTCCTAGTATTTCCTTTTTTATAAAACTAATTAAGATGTTGAAGTGGAATAAATTGTGGGTTTGGCTTTGTTTTAGCCAGAAGCCTTGCAATTCTCCATATGACATCTGCATGAGTTATCAGCTGTGGATATGCCAGCTGCACAAATTTAAACAAAATGCCCTAAAAATTTTTAGCCAAAAATGTAGCATCTCCTCCTCCCAAAATGGTTTGATTCAAGCCTGTAAACTGAAACAACAGCATTAGTTACATTTAAAATCCTATTAAATTATGCCTTGTTGTTTAAGATGGATGATCGGAGCATCTGCCACAACAGAAGCCAGCTGACTATTCCCCAAGCAAACCACAGGACCTTTGTCTTCCCCTGCAACTGGATCTGTGCCGCAGGAGTGCGTCAGCCTCACAATCCTGACTGCAGCTCTCATCTGTGGTTACTCTGAGCTCTAAGAGCCTCCAGCATTAAACCACATGAAACACTGAGCAAAGACAACATGGCATAAAGAGCAGCATCAGTTCTGCCTTCCCCACTAGACTATGCAGAGGACCTGGGCTCCTCTCAAGTGCCCAGTGGAGAAAAATATATCCTCATTGGACAAACAATGGAGGTGGATACTTCAGTCCCCTTTATGAAACTCAGCCTTGTACCTTGCTGCTTCTGAGGTTTCCAGAGAGGGATGCAACTGACAGGAACCTGAACAGAGTATTCATATAATCAGAGGTACCTTGTTCAGGAAAACTTGGTTCATGGCTATTCATATGCCACTTTTGGAAAGCATCTGTATTATTACAGGATAAACTGCTTCATCATCAAAATATTTGGGGTTTAAAATTTGAAGACACTGTGAGATACACCATCAAAATATATATCCATCGTGAAGTTTCGGAGGAAAATCTTTACATAATATGATTCTAATATATCTTTAATACAGTGAAGAAAACTCTGAGAAAGCTAACAGTCCACTATTATAATTCAGTGTTTGACTCCCATATTTTTAGCAGGGTAATTGTTTTCTGAACGCCATTTCTTTGGGTTTGGTTTTACTCTTAATATCTATTTCTATTCATAAAATTAAGACAGGAAAAATGCTCAGAGACATCTTCATTTTATCCCTGTTAGGATTAAAAAGCACCAAAGTAGTATGTCCATTTTGATATACAAACCTGCTAAAATATGCTAATCACTTATTCAGTAGTCCAGTTTATAAAGAAAGTCTATTGTAGCTAAAGCAAACTTTCTTTCTGCCTTAGTTTTCATTTCTTTATACTGATTTCCAACAGGTAACAGGAGGATACACTTCAGACTCCTTTGGAGAAATATTTCAAAGACCTACTCAGGTCTGGCCAGCTGGGACCACTGGGACTACCTGTTCTCACCTCCAGCATCCCTGAATTAATTCCTCTTAGAAGTAAAGAGTTTATCTGGATTTTCCCCCAGGCTCCATTCCTGAACTGACAATAACACAGAATCTGCTAGTCTTTGTAAATTGTTCCCATAGTTAATTGTCTCCACTCTAAAATATTTGCTTGCTTCTGCGGAGAATTCACCTCACTTCTACTGAAAGCTCTTCTGTAACAAGATTTCTGTTTCCTATACAACTAATATGGGGGAGAAATGGATCCCCCAGCTAATCTGAACAGTGATCTCCACTAACAAGATAAACACTATTGCTCATTTCACAGCAGAATGACAAAATGAGGACCATCATAAAACATGATCAGACTGGAGCAGAAGTTCAGCAAAATCAGATCACATCCTCTATCAGAAAGTCCCTGGAAGTTTCTTACCACTTCCAACAGATCACAATTTCTTTTTTTTTTTTTTTTCCTCTCTATGTTTCCCAAACCTGCTTTCAGAAGATGCTCTGTACTAGAAAGGCTTGCCTACTGATAGCTACTGAACCAGAGCATATCATGTGGTCTCTCTGTTGCTAAATGGCATCAGCATTTCATTATTCTATACTATCTGAAGCAAGATATACAACAGACCGCAAAAATCTCTCTAGTCCAGGATTTATCTAACTCAGATAGGATAAAAGAATATTATTTCTACTGTACTACAGTAGAAGCAAGATGACCCAAGCAGCAGTACTACTAGGAACTGTGAAACAGCCATGATTAAAGAGAACATCTCTGCCTTATTTCATTAGCCCAGTTAATATAAACAGGACAAAGCAGACACATTCTCAGTTTCAAACTCTTCACAGTGTCAGCAGGCATGTTGCCAAGTGTCTGGTGCCCACACAGTGTATGCAGGAGGTTGGACTTCTCTGGACTCTAACCCCTACCTTGTGGTGATAAAGCATTCTCTTGGCTTCAGTCCTCTTGATTGCAAGTGGAGGGACTGACAGCAGGTACCTTTCAGTGCATTGGCTGATGAGTGATATCTGTAACACTCAAAGTCCTATAAGCTCTTCATCCTGGAACCAAAGGCACCAAACAGCCCACTCATTTCAGACAGATCCCAAGAATAAATAGCCTGCTTTCTAATACAAAATCTCACCCCAAAACATATTCAAACCACACATGCTGAGAACAAGGCCTTATGATGAATATCTTCCAAGCTAGCTTGCCAGACCACAAACACATTTTAGAAGCCTGACATTTAAAGAAAAAAGCAAATACAGGATCCATGCCTAAGTCCACCTCAAAGACTTGTTTCACAGACTGGCATATGCCTATCTAGACCTGTGCCTCTAAAGACAGAGATGGTCCTTCAATTTCCCTTCCTTCCTTTTCAATCTCGTTACTCTTTC